AAATGTCTATTATGAAGATATAACACTGGAATTTGACATAATTACATATCCGAGTGGTAGACTACCGTAATCATAATGGCACTTGATTTCTAGAAACGTCAGGTTTATTTGGTTCAGTGTTTAGATTTATAACGTTTGAAAGTCACAAAATATTCCATTAAACTGTTCTGATATTTTATACATGGTCACTTTATTCCTGCCTTAATGTCACCTTTATGCAGGCGGTTGCTTCAAAGCAGATTACTGGTTCCCAAAGGTTACATGGAATTCATCTTTCTCTAATTTACTTCCATTCTCAGTCACATTTAGCATCTCACTGCAAACTCCTTTACGGGTATAGGATTCTCTAATACTACTTTATGCTAATATGCTAAATTATTTTAAAACTTATAAGACTAGTTTTTTATATATTTGGTCATCTATCACACATTTAAGCACCAAACATTAGATTTAACTGCTGTTTATTCAGGTCTCATTTTAAGAACATTCATATAAATATATCTTAATGGAGAGAAGTGGAAAGCAAGTGTGGAAGGACTTCAACATAAAGAAAAGACAAATAGCACATTGTAGGATTCAGTTGCAACTGGAACCAGCTAGAGCACTTGATAAGATATTCAACCATTGTTTCAGTATGGCTACAGTTTTCTTTAAAAAAATGATTACTACTTTTCTAAAATTTACAAATAATATGTAATCATCTTCTTATGATAATCTTCAACTATTAAAAGTGCCTTAATTTTTAAATTAATGATAAAAAATTCTATACAAAGCAATATTTTGATTCCACTTCACAACAACAAAGAAAGCATTCATAATGGCATAAGCTAAATACTATAAACACTCACATGCACTGAAAATTTAGCTACTGAGAATCAAGTAGCTTTTTTTAACGTGAAATTATAACAGACAAACAAATGGAGTATGATGATTGAATCAACAGATTCAAAAAATGAAACACTAAGTATTTGTAATACTTCAGTATTTATTGAATAAAGCCTATTGAATCTATATCATTTAAACAAATTAGCATAGAAGAAATAAGACCTTCCAGCAAAGTACTGTATTAAAAATACCTTAATATGCAAAAATAACATCTTTGTTATGTTCATGATATCAAGGAATCTATAGTTTTAGTCTGAGATTCCCACAGGCAGGAATTTAAAGCCCAGCTAAGAAACTTTCCACCCACCTCTGCCAGAATGGTAGGCGATTCTTTACTGAAGATAGAGAAGACGTACTGTACAAATGTGAGAGAATGTAGAAAAATATGTAAAGGCCCAAACAAAATATACCTACTTTACATTGATTAATCCACAAATGTCTACAATTGCAATAGTTGCCAATCTGTGATTCGAATCTTGCTCCTTAGAATATCCAAGAGTGTACAGCAAAAGTTATTCTGTTCTACTCTTGTTGCAGTGAAACAGGCTCCCTCTATATGGCTTACTTTTTGGCTATAGTTGTAATAAAAGCTATAATATTTACTATTTTGTTTTGTTTTATAACCTAAATGTGTTCTGTGAATTAATTCACAGAGATACAAATATCTTGAAATGTGGCAACATTTTCTAACTGTGATTAAAATAGAGATATCGCCTGCCTCAAGCTGGAGTGCAGTAGTACCATCTCTGCTCACTGCAATTTCCACCGCCCAGGTTCAGGTGATTCTTATGCCTCTGGCACCTGAGTAGCTGGAACTACAGGCACAGGCCACGATACCTGGTTAGTTTTTGTATTTTCAGTAGAGAATGGGTTTCACCATGTTGGCTAGGCTGATATTGAACTTCTGGCCTCAAGTGATCCACCCATCTAGGCATCCCAAATTGCTGGGTGATTGTTTAATTGATAAAATAATATTTGCTTTTAATTTTTAATGTTACTATAATGTCAATGTACTATACAGTTTAAACACTCTTTCCTTCAGACCACATATTTTGAGGTTTTTTTTTTTTTTTTAAGTTTTGCCAATTAAAGAGAGTTTACTTGGATTTAATTTCTTGTGATAATATTTATTTATGCTGATGTGGTGGCTCATGCTTGTAATCCCAGCACTTTGGGAGGCCAAGGCAGGTGGATTGCTTTAGGTCAGGGGTTCTAGACCAGCCTGGTCGACATGGTGAAATCCTGTCTCTACTAAAAATACAAAAATTAGCTGTGTGTGGTGGCACATGCCTGTAATCCCAGTTACCTGGGAGGCTGAGGCACGAGAACTGCTTGAACCCAGGAGGTGGAGGTTGCAGTGAGCCAAGATTGCACCACTGCACTCCAGCCTGGGCAACAAAGTAAGACTCTGTCTCCAATATATATAATATATTATATATATGTATGGTTGTGATATGTATAACTATCAAGCAGATAGCCTATTTTAAACCTACAAAATACATTTACGTCATGTGTCTAATTATATTAGACTGGTCGATGTGACATCAGAAAACAGATGATAAATTCTGTAAATTGGGGTCACTTACAACAGTGATGAACATCTACTAAGCTAAATTTTCTCATCTATGTCTACAAGATACAATTTTGAAGAGTAGGATAGAAAACAATTTTTGACATAGAACATACCAACTCTTAAACTTGACACTTTTGTAGTATGATTTCTACTAACTTACTTATAGCAAAATCTCTAAAGTTTATGGATTTTCAGAAGTAACCAAGCATGGCATTTTCCTTTAAATTTCTTCTTACATTGACTTGTTTCTGTCAACTTCAGAAGCACTAGGAAGGAGATCTCTTCCAAGTAACTGATCAGTCAGTTGGCTAAAGTCCATATTGAGGGCCAGGTGTGGTGGCTCACACCTGTAATTCCAGCAATTTGGGAGGCCGAGGTGAGTGGACTCCTTGAGGCCAGGATTTTGAGACTAGCCTGGACACAACAGCAAGATCGTGTCTCTGTCTACACACACACACACACACACACACACACACACACACACACACACAGACCAGATTGTGATCTGGCTCAGAGTCATTCTTTCTAATCACATATCCTTCCCTTTTGTTTCAGAGCATTTAAAAGAAACCTAGCAACCTCAAAAAGAAAAAAAAAATGCCAGAAGGAAGAACCATAGATCCTCAGTAGGTTTCACTGTTAGCATCCCTGAAATATCTTGGAAAGGAACTTGCTGGAACTTCACTCCCTCTTTAGTTCTTTGAAATGCTTTTCCCAACTGTACAATGTATATCAATGATACAGCTTCTGGAGAAGAATTTTTCTCCCTAAAAACAGACAGCAACTACATCATCAGGGAAGAAAATTGTGTATGTATAATTTTATAGTTATTTTATTTTCATATATTTTTAATGGAAAGTAAAAGGATATAAAAGCTAGCTGGTCACATGTTTTGAGTAACATTTCCTCCACTTTATACTCAGAGTCAGCTCACATTCTGCATTCCATTTGATTAACACTGATTTGATATTTTTATCTTTAGAGTCGATTTAGATAAACAGGTAGGATGTCACTATTAGGAAATTTTCTCCTTAACAAGCTGCTTGCCTTCTCTGTACAATCTGTCGTGTCATTTCAATCTGGGCGATAACAATCTAGACTCAAAGCAGCTGTTTAATCTTCATTCATAGCCACTTTCTAGGGAGTGGCAATTGTTACCACTCCCATAAAAATTCTAATAGATGTGACACTAAGTAAGATGATAATCAGTACCATGTTCCCAGGATTCAAAAACGGTACGGACTATGTGTGAATAGCAGGATTTTGACAATATTTAATGAAGTCTTTCATCTACAGCAGTAGACATTATCAGAGAAAGAAATGTCAATGATATCTACTAATTTATGTTATATATCCTAAAAGAATGATATTTGGGTACGTTACAAAATGAGTAAACTGTAATTATGGACAAATTTGGTCATGGTAAATAATTTGCCTAATAACTTTATTCCATTCAATTAAAAATTTTTAGTAAATATATGGATGTTAATCTAAGTATATTGTTAAACAATAAGAAGGGCCAGGCGCAGTGGCTCATGCCTGTAATCCTAGCAGGTTGGGAGACTGAGGTGGGCAGATCACGAGGTCAAGAGATCAAAACCATCCTGGCCAACATGGTGAAACCCTGTCTCTACTAAAAACACAAATATTACCTGAGCATAATGGTGTGCGCCTGTAGTCCCAACTACTTGGGAGGCTGAGGCAGGAGAATTACTTGAACCCGGGGGGCAGAGGTTGCAGTGAGCCGAGATGGCTCCACTGCACTCTAGCCTGGCGACAGACCAAGACTCCATCTCAAAACAAAAAACAAAAAACAGTAAGAAATAGGGTCTATAACATTGATGCAATGTAGAAAATGCTTGTATATATAAGAGCATGCATATTATATGTTTTCTTAAACTTGAAACATAGCAACTATTTGAGAGAAATTTTTAGCCTAATTTTGCAGATATAAAAACTGAAGTTGAGAGCCTGAGAAAATCATGTCAAAAAGAAGCAGGAATTAAGCTTCTGTTTGGCTTATTCCAGGTCCCACCCAAGGACCACACAAAGACTTAAAGCTTCTTAACTAAGCACTAGAGAGAGAAAAAAAATAGTATTGTAATCTTACCTCTAGGCAATAAAGCCAATGTTTCCTCTACTTGCTCTCAGTATTTTTGTGAAAAGATTTACTCAAGATTCTCAAGCAATTTCAATGAAAGCCCAACTGGTTCAAAAATATTTATCTCAGCACTAAATAGCAAAAGTCTTAAAAAACAATTTAAGAATTGTATTGATATAGTAAATAATCATTATGTTTGCAGGCTGATAATGTCTGAAACCAGGTAGGTTTTGTGGATAGCAATACTTTCAACCAATCACTTGGAACTAATCATCAGGTGTGAAGTTAACCTGGCTTATGGCAAACGCATGCAGATTTCTGCTATGCAAAAAGGAATAAAGCACAAATCAAAGGAAAATTAGTAGTGAGCTAGAAACAGCCTTATCTTTGAATTGTCTAATTTATGAGACTTACGTGTTCCACCATATTTTTCAGTAATACAGCTTCTTGAAGTGAATTGCCTTTTTGACCAAGAAGAAATAAATGAGTAGATGAACCGAGGAAAAATGAGGTACTGAAGAAGAATGAAGTCTTTCTAATATATCTTCTCTCTACCAGGTATAGCATGAGTACTTACATAGTTAACTCTTCTCCTAATCCTAAGCAGTATCAAGATTTACTGTTTAATACTAAAGATGAAATAATACTTGAAGTTACACAAAATGTCATATACTGCAGGTATCATGATTACTGTCATTAAAATAAATTGTAAATCAACCTTATTCTTGTTTCTGAGACAGAAATTTAGCTGCTATGAAATACTGGGAGCTTCCTGCTTTTCCACTAAACCATTATTGTCTTTTATATTCTAAAAACTATCATATGAATTCTCTCCAAAATAATAAAGAACAAGGAATCACTGCTGCAGAGAAAATCTTTTGGGAATTCCTCACAGGCAAAGTATTCTCTTTTTCGTTTCTAAAGACACACAAAGATTTCTTAAAGCAGGAGTCAGCAAACTTTTCTTAAAGGGATAGATAGCAAATATTTTAGAATTTTGCTGGCCACTCAGTCCTCAGAGAATCATAAGTACTAAACTCTCCAGTTGTCTCAGAAAAGCAGCCATAAACAATATGTAAAGAAATGGCAGATCTGAAATACAATAAATTTTTATTTACCAAAACAACCCAAAGTTGGCCCTCTGATTCTAGTTTACTGACTAGAATGAAAAATAGTTCTCTAAACATGAGAAACAGAGAAGCTAAATAATTGTCCATGATCAAATGAGGAAAAAGCAACAGTAAAGCCAAACTTTTTTGAATTCTACTTTGGCGGTCTTTATTGAGCTATTAACAATCCTAGCATTATCAAAGAATTCCTAGGAACAGATCACTCAACATTCCATCAAGTACAAAAAGCCCCTCTATCAGTTAACTAGCAATTAATATTCAGTTTTAATATTTCCAGTCATGAGAAAATAACTACAGATGTGCCTTGACTTACAGACAGCTTATTTTTAAAAGGAACTTTGTGAATACATTTCTTGTTAAGTCAAACAGCACTATAAAATTACTGGCTAATGTATGCAGAGTTGCTCAAATGGTGAATGTGTGTCCCTATTAATAAAAACTGAAGGTAGAAAGAAAAATAACGAGTTTCAATACCTCCTATGGCAATATAGCCACAATTGGACAGGTCTAAATGCTATTCCTTATATTGAACAAAACTATCTTTGCTGCAGTGTTTACTTTTCTGCTACAGATTTACTTTCACAGTGTCTTCTGTCCCTTTTCTGTGACAATCTTCACATATTTAAGAAAAAGTTGTCATGTGTCCTCTAAGAATTTTTAAAGGACTATACCACACTAGAATTGTGATTTTCTTCTCCATAGCATATGCTTCCAAGAAAACATCCAACAACTCACATGTACATGTGTCACTTTTAAAATGTGATGTTTTCACAGTAGCAAGTGGTCTGACGAACAAGAAACAGTGAGACTTGTCTTTCATGCCTTGTGAACTTGAATTTCCTTAAAATAGACTGTGCCAATGATAGACTCCCTTGATAAATCTGTTAGTAGTTTACATATGTTCCTTGCCTTTTAAGTAGATTTTCAGTAAGTTAAAAGCAGAAATAACTCATTCATGTTACAATGAATTCTTACATAAACTATTTCCTCTTATTTCTTGGTCACTTGAGTATTCATTGGAGGCCTGAAACCCACTCTGTAATGTGGAGTTCTACCTGGTTTAACATCGTATGTTGTCACTGCATAATGGAACATCCTAGGCTTAATTTCCTAAATCAGTGGACCTGTCCTTAACAAAGGAAAGATTCTTTCATGAGTAATGAAGTCCCAGATAAAAAAGTTTGAAAACAAATGTTCTTTTTGAAGTCTTAGCAGTAAAGTCACGGACATGACAGGGTACTGTGCATTTAGATCTATATTTCACTTGCTTTTGCTAGGATAAGCACTCTCTGGAAGAAATTCTCAGAATACTGAAGGCTGAAACTGCTCCCAGCTTGTTTTCATACATAGTCATGGATCTCACCATTTGTGATCGAAAGTTGTGAGAACAGACTCTCTAAAGCTGGTGATCAGCAGTGAAAGAGAGCTTAAACATATCCATTTCTTATTTGCTTAAGTTAAATAAGCAAGAGTAGAAAGTTTAAAGATATCAGTAATATAGTAAATGTGACTCTATTTAATTTATTTCACATAAAGTCAGCATTTTTGCTAAATTTAAATATTTTGAATCTGTTTAATTTTTTCATTCATATTTATATATATTATTTTTAAATTATTATTTTGAGAGCACAAAAGTGGAAAATCATGTGTGACAGAAAGATGTTTAGTCAAAACCAAACAAAAACAAAAACACATACGTAATATATCTGATTCTATCAATGCCACAAGATTTTCTCATCAAGCTATTTATCTATGGATCTGCAAATAGTCATGGCAATTTCTAAGCCTTCCAAATCACTGTGATGCAGCCTAGAGCTACCATATCAAGGCTCTTTTCTGTAGGATAAGCAGACCAAACTCATTTGCAAGTCCTGACTTTTTCCTTTTATTCTCCAGTGGCTCATTAACTTATTTCGAGTAGTAATATCAATGTATCAATGAGCTGTTTAAAGGCTCTCAGCATGAACTTAAGATTTCAAAGTCAATGTGACTGAAGTAGTGACTATCATTTTCCTACAGCAGCCATTCTGTAGAATTTGATGATCTCTAGATTAGGAGCAGAGCAAGGTGGGTTTCTGAAAAAGTTGTGCCTATGGACAGCAGCTTCAATCATATCCAAGAATTCTAAGTTTTTGCTGCTGATGGTGTACCTTATGGTTGTGAAACTTGCCTGGCCAGCCTCCAAAATAAGTGAATTCCCTTCAATATATGTATTTGTTACTGGTCCTCTTTCTCCAACTGAACCCTGACTAATACATGTATTAATGTGGCAGAGGTAACAGTGCATGATTTCAAATGTTATGTCATAAAAGGTGAAACAGCTTCTGTCTGGCTATATTTCAGATACTTGCCCTGGAAACCAGCCATGATGCTGTGATGAAATCCAGGCAACAGAGTTGTGTTTCAGCCCAAAGCAGCAGGTGGGATCCAGGTGACTGACATCATTATCTGTCAGACATGTGAGAGAAATCCTTAAGATGACTTCAGATTCATCACTCATTTTCTTCAACCACATGAGAAACCTAGAGAGAGAACCACCCAGCCAAGGCCAATCTCTAGAACTTCAAAAGGTAATCATAAATGAAGGTTGTCATTTTACACTCTTGTTTATGCCACTGTGTGCTTTTCACACAGCAGTACATATACATTACAGACTGCATTTATATTACACATATTGAACCCCATTTTCACAATTCCCTTCCTTACATGACTCTTAAGTTATGGGTTTCCACAATATACATGTTAACAAGATTTGGAAGAAAGGAGTTAAGTAGCAGTCTGGTTTATACTTGGAAAATCAGACTAGAGTGAGACGTTCTTACAAGTCACATATTTTATGGCGGACCTACTGGCTCACTTCATTGGCTAGAGGCAGTAGCTAGCCCACTCCAGCTTTAGATTCTGCCAGATCTCCTTGGGACTGCAGCCAGACCCAGAGCTCCTTCATTCTCCATCTGATCTCTTTCTTCGGTTTCCTTGGATCCTGGGCCACACTTACATGAAACTCTGTAGAGGAATAACTCAGCTATACTGCAGGCCTCCCATACAAAAAAAACTGTAGGCTAGAGACAGTGAGAGACTAATGTAGCTCTATGTAATAGACAAATTTCAGTTTATCCTCATGAGTTTCAGCTCATTCTCAAATATTCTAGCTTGTCTTTCTTCTCTCTCACTTTATTTCTATTTTTCCTTTCTAGCTTCAGGACCATCATCTGACGTAGGGGAAGAAGACTTCCATAGGATGCTCAATCACCACCCAAGATCATGTAAGGTTTAAACTTTATAATAAATCCATTTTGTTTCTCATAGTTCTCCTTTTCTCATCAAATCATAACTGATAACAGTGATCCATATTTTGAAACCCAGTGTCCTCTCTGAAGTTTCTGCTTTCAATGATTCCCAGTGTCTTAGTCACTTCAGGCTGCTATAATGAAAATAGCACAGAATGAGTAACATAAACAATAAGCATTTTTTTCTCACAACTCTGGAGACTGGCAAGTCCAAGATCAATCAAGGTACTGGAAGATTTGGTGTCTAGTGGGGGCCCACTTTCTGGTTCATAGATAGCCATCTTTGGCTGTGTCCTCACTTGGTAGAAAAAGAGAAAGAATTCTCTGGATATTTTGTATAAAAAGGACAGAAATCCCATTCATAAGCGCTCCACTGTCACAACCTAATCACCTCCCCAAGGCCTCGCCTCCTCACACCATTACATCGGGGGTTAGGATCTCAACATACAAATTTGGTGAGGACACAATCAGTCCTCAGCACCCAGTCTCACTCATGTCTCTATTCACTAACTTATTTCTATATTTTAAAATGCAGATATGAAGTAGACCCCTTTTTCTTGAATTTCTTTATAGTCACTGTTTTGTTGAATATTTCATTGACGTTCACAGCCAGTGGAGAAGTTTTCCATTAAAAATATAATGTAAAATGTCTTTGGCAACTTTCTTTTTTGGCTTTTTTTTTTTTTTCTGTCCACCTGCCTTTGCAGTCTTCATCCTCCAGGCACTTTGCTTAGTTCTGTACTGTCTCTAAGACTATGCTTGCCTGTCTATGTTTTCCTATTTCTCCAGGCAGTCCTTACCCCTGAATCCCAATATATCTATTTTCCTCACTTTGTATTTCAGAACCATTCATTTCTCCCCTTAATATTTGTATCCAAAAATGCTAAAAGTACTTGCTAAACAAAGGCTCATCTACACTATGTGCCATCTTTTAGTATTGCAGAAAAGCTGAAAGAATATTGAAATTGAATGTTTTATAATTCTCCAGATTGTTCTTATGATTATATAAGTTTGAAAATTTCAAAAATAGAAAATCATATACACATTTTAAAATTGGGAATCTATTCATTTAATAAATTGCTGCCCACTGTCTTCTGTGTATCAGACGTTGTTCCAAACGTCAGTGAGGCAATGAACTAAACAAACATTTTGCTCTCATGCAGCTTATCTCCTAGTAATACGTGTGAGTGTAGATAGATGATAAAGTCGTTTATATGTCATATCCATTAGGGATCACTGCTGTGAAGATAATTAAGCAGGATAACAATAATGAAAGTTAGGCCAATATTTTGTATAGAGTGGTCATGAAAGATTTCAGCAGTAAAGATGTATTTAAGCAGAGACTTAACAAGAGGAAGGAAACAAGCCATGTACCTATTTCGCTGAAGAGTGTTTCAGGTAAACTAAACAACAAGACTATCCATGAAACTCAAAAACAGAGTTAGTAAGGAGAAAGGTGGCAAAAGTAGAGCCATGGAAGTATGAGGAGGCAGGGTTGCAGCAAATAGGGACACTTTAACATCAAGGACTTGTATTTGGAGTGCAATGGAAAGTCAAAATTTGTAAATGAAAAATACGATTTCACTGATTTAGTATTTTATATTTTATTTATTTATTTATTTGAGACTGAGTTTTGCTCCTTATCCTATGTTGCCAAGGACCCTTTCAGCCGCCAACTGGAACCTGTGCACCCTTCTACAAATAATGGCTTTTAACTCACAGACTATAATGTTTAGGATTACAAAGAAAACTTGTTCGTTTCACATATGGTTATCCTGGTGATGTAGCATTCCGCTTGAAATTGAAAGTATTTCAGTATCAGAGAGAAACCATATTGTTTCAAAAAACAAACAACTGACAACAACAGCAAAAGAAAACCACTGCAAATCACAATGCCTTCGCCTTAATGTAATGTATTACACATTATTGATTAATGTATTAAACATTAATCATTTGGAGGATTCCTTTAGAAAAGTGTAAAAAAAAAAATTTTTTTTGCACTCCAGGCTGGAGTGCAATGGCATGATCTCGGCTCACTGCAACCTCCACCTCCTGGGTTCAGGCAATTCTCCTGCCTCAGCCTCCTGAGTAGCTGGGATTACAGGCATGCGCCACTATGCCCAGCTAATTTTTTGTATTTTTAGTAGAGACGGGTTTCACTATGTTGACCAGGATGGTCTTGATCTCTTGACCTCGTGTTCCACCTGCCTCGGCCTCCCAAAGTACTCGGATTACAGGTGTGAGCCACTGCACCAGGCCAGTATTTTTTATTTTTAAGACTAAATCACAGAATTAAGAATCACAGACAGAAGCAAGTACAAAATTCTGAATTCTCATTACTTTTAAAATTATTTACTTAGGCAGTAAGTAAATGTAAGCTCAGTATAGGAAAGAATGTTTTTGTGTTTTGGATCCTCAGAAGCTAGGGCAAATTATTACACAATAAGTGCTCAGTGAATATTTTATATGTATTGGCTTATACCAGACCCATCCACTTTCAGGTGGTGCCTGAATACTGAGCAGAACTATTTGTGAACCAAGCCCTATTCTTCTCTTCCTCTGTCAACTGATCATAGGCAACTCCCCATGGGGCCTTTGGTGCAGGCTGAGGGAGAGAAAGTAGGGTGGCATGAGTGGAGTGTTTGAGCCACTTCTTCAGGTAAATTACTTGTGCATTTGGGACCTGCTCAAGCCCCATCACATATATACCACTTTCATTTGATGAAAGAATGTTGCTGTGCATGACTCACTTTATGGCTAGACAGGTCAGGAGGCACCCAGTCCATGATAGGCAGTTCAGGTCACATGGTTGCTTGATGACCCACAGTCAAAATTCAGTTTCCACAAAATCCAGTAACAGATCAAGAGCTGTCTCTCAAAAGGAGAGTAATTATCTGCAGAAGATGGCAGATCTAGAGGCCTCTGGTGTGATTCACCTATGACAGCCTGCCGGAGGCTCCAAACAGCATCTGTATTTGCCACGGACACCAGAAGCAGCATTAGATCTGCTGAGTCATATGGCCCAAGCAGCAGAGAAGCTTGCACAGCAGCCTGGACCTGTTGCAGAGCCTTCTCCTATTCTGGATCCTACTCAAAACTGGCTACCTCTCAGGTCACTTGATAAATGGGCCAGAGTAACACACCTGAATGAGAAATGTGTTGTCCCCAAAATCCAAATAGGCCCACTAAGAGTTTCTTGGTTGTAGGAGAGGCCAAATGCAGCAACTTAACCTTCCCTTTAGAAAGAATATCTCAACAGGTCCCACACCACTGGGCCCCTAGAAATTTTACTGAGCAAGAGGGTCTCTGCATTTTAGGGGATTTATTTTGCATCCTCTGGCATGCAAATGTCTCACCAATAAGTCCAGTGTGTTTGCTACTTCTTGCTCACTGGATCCAATCAGCATAATGTCATCAGTGTAATGGATCAGTATGATATCTCACAGAAGTGAAAAGTGATCAAGATCTCTCCAAATAAAATTATGACACAAAGCTAGAGAGTTGATATACCTGTGAAGTAGGAGAGTAAATATATACTGCTGGCCTTTCCAGCTGAAGGCAAATTGCTTTTGGTGGGCCTTGTGGACAGGAATAAAGAAAAAGGCATTTGCCAAGTCAAAGGCTACATACCAGGTATCAGGAGATGTGCTAATTTGCTCAAGCAATGAAACCACATTTGCTATAGCAGCTGCAACTGGAGTCATCATTTGGTTAAGCTTATGATAATCCACTGTCCTTCTCCAAGATCCATCTGTCTTCTGCACAGGAGAATAGGGGGAGTTGAATGAAGGGGATGTGGTAGGAAACAACCCCTCTGAGTCTTTCGAGTACTTGGTGACACTAATCTCTGCCATCCCTCCAGAGATGCATTATTGTTTTTGATTTTACTATTTTTCTAGGTCAAGGCAGCTCTAACAGCTTCCTTTTGGCCTTTTGCACCATAGTAGACCTCACCCTACCAGTCAGGGAGTCATTGTGGAGGTTCTACTCGCTGCTAAGTATGTCTATGCCAATTATGCATTTTGGCACTGGGGAAATGACCACAGGATGAGTCCAGGGACCTACTAGACCCACTGTAAGTTGGACCTGAGCTGAAACTCCATTACTTACTTGACATCCTAAAGCTTTTACTCTTAACTGGAGAACCACAGTGATATTTTGGCTCCCCTGGAATCAATGTCAGCAGACAGCCAGTGTGCAGTAGTCCCCAGTCTGATCATTTCCCTTTCCCCAGTGCACATTTACCCTGGTAAAAGGCTAGAGATCTCACTGGGGAAGAATGGGAGAAAGATTCACTGCATAAACTGTCAGTGTGTAGTGGTGTCCTTTATCAAGGGGACCTGGCCTCCCCTTCATTCAAGAGGTTCTAGGTCTGTAAACTGGCTCAAGTCTGGAAATTGAATAAGGGGCCGTGATTCTGTTTTTATAATTCAAATTAGTCTTTTGTTCACTCTACCTAGAAGTTTTCTGTTTGTATAATTTAAGTAGCAATGCAGTAGACTTCCTATCAATTTCACTTCTTAGAAACACTGTGGTTAATTAGCTGATGCCAGAGCTCAACATGAGTCAGACTATTCTGATTGTTGCTTTGCCTCTGCTTTTAATTATTGTAACTATGCCTACCTTGCTTTTGACGGTTTAGTGCTGCCACTTGGCCCCTGCCACCTTGGGATTCAATTATTCCCATTGTATTTACATTTTGTAGTTGAGAGACTGTGGCTCCCACCATTTCATCTGACATGCGAAGAAGAGCAATTACAGGGCTCTTCAAAGATGCAGGTTCTGTCCTCACAAATCTGTTTTCCAAGACATTGGTCAAGGCTATATCGTCTAGATTCTCCCAGCTGGAATGAGTAGGTCTAAAGTGACTAATCCACTCTTATCATCCCAATATCCCTAAGCCTTTTGATCCCTTCCTCTACATTAACCCAAGGGAAATCAGGCATGTCCAGCTGGCTCACAGTGGACCATCTTTCAATCCATATTTC